GAAGTATGAGAGAAAAGATACTAGATACACCAAGGGCAAGTCTTCGAACTGAGGCTTGAGCAGAAAGCCCAGAGGTGGTCCCACAGCCCCCAAGAGCCCAGCAAACTATCCCACTGCGTAAGAAAGATGGGAAGTATGGTAAGAGGCCACTAGCTTAACCAGGAGATCTTCACTGCTCTGAAATGCAAAGAAGAGTCCTACAAAAAGTAGAAACTGTCAAATGACAAATGATGAATAGTATCAAACAACACAAGCGTGTAAAGACAAAATTAAACTAACTAGAGATGTTAAGGGTAACAAGAAAATATTATACAAATACACGAAAAGCAAGAGGAAGACCAAGGACAGGATAGGGAAGGGAGAAAGACAATAACAGAAATTGTGGAAATGGCAGAAATGTTAAAACAACTTTTTTGTTTCAGTTTTCACCAAAAAGTTTAGTAGTGATTGGAAGTCTAATATAGTGAATGCCAGTGAAAAGGAGGTAGGATCTGAGGCTAAAATTAGGAAAGAACAAGTTACAAATTATTTAAACAAGTTAGATGTCTTCAAGTCACCAGGGCCTGATCAAAAACATCCCAGAATACTCAAGGAGCTGACTGAGGAGATATCTGAGCCATTAGCAATTATCTTCAAAACTCATGGAAGAGGGGAAAGATGCCAGAAGACTGCAAAAGGGCAAATATATAGAGCTAATCTATAAAAAGAGAAATAAAGACAACCCAGGGAATTACAGACTAGTCAGCTTAACTTCAGTATGTGGAAAGATAATGAGCAAATAATCAAGCAATCAATTTGCAAACACCTAGAAGATAATAAGGTGATAAGTACGGCTGCGATTTAGTCAGGGAGGTCATAGAAGTCACAGAATCCTGATTATCCTGATTATCACTACAAAAGTTTTTTTTTTCTCCTGCTGATAATAGCCCACCTTAATTGATTAGTCTTGTTAGAGTTGGTATGGCAACACCCATTTTTCATGTTCTCTGTGTGTATATCTTCCTACTGTATTTTCCACTGCATGCATCTGATGAAGTGGGCTTTAGCCCACGAAAGCTTATGCCCAAATAAATTTGTTAGTCTCTAAGGTGCCACAAGTACTCATTGTTTTTGCTGATACGGACTAACACGGCTACCACTCTGAAACCTGTTCCCAGAGAGTAGTTATCAGTGGTTTACAGTTAAACTGGAAGGGCATTCTGAGCAGAGTGCTGCAGGAATCGGTCCTGGGTCCGGTTCTGTTCAATATTTTCATCAATGATTTAGATAATGGCATAGAGCAGCAGTTCTCAAACTTTAGCAACCGAAGGACCCCCATTTTGATTTAAATTTTTTCATGGACCCACAAGCCTCCCCCACTCAGCCCCAGATTCTACCCCCACTCCACCCTTTCCCCCAAAACCCCACCCCTGCTGCTCCTCTTCCTCCCCTCTTTCCATGCTCCCCTCCCCGAGTGTGCCACATCCCTTCTCCACCTCCTCCCTCCCAGTGCCTCCTATACCTCAGGGAACAACTGGAGGTACTGGGAAGGAGCAGGAGGAGTTGATCAGCAGGACCAGCGGCCCTGGACACAATCCCTCCTTTGAGCACATCCTGTCCCAGCTCCTCCCCCTCCCTCCCAGCACCTTCTGCACGTCTTTGAATAGCTGTTCCCCAGCATGCAGGAGGCACTGGGAGGGAAGGGGAGGAGCTGAGGGAGGGAGAGAGGGGGAGGAGTTGATCAGTGGGGCCCATGGACCCCAGTTTGAGAAACGCTGGCATAGAGAGTACACTTATAAAGTTTGCAGATGATACCAAGCTGGGCGGGATTGCAAGTGCTTTGGAGGATAGGATTAAAATTCAAAATGATCTGGAGAAATGGTCTGAAGTAAATGGGATGAAATTCATTAAGGGCAAATGCAGTGTACACCACACTGCAGGAAGGAACAATCAACTGCACACATACAAAATTGGGAAATGACTACCTACGAAGGAGTACTGCAGAAGTAGGATCTGGAGGTTATAGTGGATCACAAGCTACATATGAGTCAACAGGGTAACACTGTTGCGCAAAAAAAAAAAAAAAAGCAATCATCATTCTGGTGTGCATTAGCAGGAGTGTTGAAAGAAAGACATGAGAAGTATTTCTTCCACTCTACTCCATGCTGATAAGGCCACAAATGGAGTATTGTGTCCAGTTCTGGGTGCCACATTTCAGAAAGATGTGGACAATTGGCAAAAGTCCAGAGGAGAGCAACAAAAATAATTAAAGGTCTAGAAAACATGACCTATTAGGAAAGATTGAAAAATTTGGGTTTGTTTAGTCTGAAGAAGAGAAGACTGAGGGGGAGGGAGCATCCTAACAATCTTCAGATACTTAAAAGGTTGTTACAAAAAGGAGAGTGAACAATTGTTCTTGTTAATCTCTAAGGATAAGACAAGATGTAATGGACTGAAATTCCAGCAAGGGGGGTTTAGGTTGGACATTAGGAAAAACATCCTAATTGTCATAGTTAAGCACAGGAATAAATTACCTAGGGAGGTTGTGGAATCTCCGTCATTGGAGGTTTTTAAGAGCAGGTTAGATAAACACCTGTCAGGAATGGTCTAGTTGTTACATGATCTTGCCTTGAGTGCAGGAACTGGACTAGATGACTGCTCGAGATCCCTTCCAGCCCTACACTTCTATGATTCTGTGACAACAAGCGAATGTACCTCTGCCCAGACCTGACTGTAGATGACAGAATTTCCCACTTTTCAGAGGAATGTTCCATGTGGACCACAGACAAGTGGGTAAGTGTTAACTTTAATTTTAGAGGGCTGGCTTATTATAGGCATGCCAATGATCTGACCAGAAGATAATTAGGTTCTTATCCCAAAATTAGGCTACAGAATTACAGAATTTAGAGAGTTCAGTACTTCATATGGACCCTCCAGCTGTGCAGCAAGGACATTCACACTGAGGACAAAGCCAGGCTTTAGAGATATTTATTAAAATAAAGGAAAAAGTTATCAAAGCTTCAAACCACAATCAAAAAGAAGTAATACGGTTCTATAGGGACTTCTGGTATCATCCCTTACAAAAGCTACTTAGACTAGCATACTCACACCCTTCCTTGGGGACTTGGTAGTGGGAGACAAAGGACCATCCTTGTCTCTGACATGCCAACTGAGTCCGATGGTCCAGGTTCCTCAATCCCAAGATGGTGGAGATCAGGGTCAAGTGTTGAGTAGCTAAGCTATATTGCAAAAGCTGAGTTGATAGCTAAACAAAAGAGAACTTTAAGCTAAAAGAAGGTAGCTCCATATGTTGGTTTGCCCTCTTATAGGGTATTGGCACTATCCTGAATATTCATGTCAGTGTCCAACCTTCCATGTCCAAATCTTATTTCCTCACCCACATAAATCTGAGGGTACACTTATTCTATAGGCTTGCATATTCTTACATATTAATAACATCCATACATATTAATGCCGATTATCTCATTCTTGAAACCATTACCTTGGCCTGATCCATTACTTCCATGTTCTTGTGATGTACCTTGTGGTTACTGGTATCCCAGAATTTTAGTAAACACAGTTCCCCAAAGTCAAAAAGTAACTGGTAAGCCATTTATCTATGACAAAGGTTACATCCACTTATGCTAACTTGTTTTAGCTAATCATACAGGATACAAGCCTATAGGTTCCTTGCATTACAGCCACATATAATGAAGTAACGTCTGCTGAAATTACTCAACACAAAAATATAAGCCAAAATAATATAATTGATCAAGCCAATAGAGAAAAACAAATGATATATCAGGCTAGCCCCATGGGTTACAAGTCAGAGTGTGAATTAGGGGTAACTCCTGCAAGTCACAGGCTTCACCCCATCCTTTCTTCATCCAGACTCCTGTATCCAGTGATTCTGCACAGCACAAACTGATCTGGACTGAGATCTACCAGCTGATGGACAAAGGAGCAATGGAAGGAGTTCCCTTAGAAAAAAGGTTCTCAGGATTCTACTCCACCTATTTGTTGTTCAAAAGTGTACCAGGGGGAGTCAGAGCCATCCTCAACCTGAAATAACTCAACAAGTGGATGAAGACGACAAAATTCCAGATGGAGATCCTAGCTTTGATGGTATCATCCCTATCCCAATGGGGACCTCCTAACTTTAGTGAATCTGGCAGAGGCATATTTTCATATTCACATTTGCCCATGCCACTACAAGCTTTGCTTCTGAGGTTTGCTGAGCAGCACAGACCACTACCAGTACTGAACTCTCTCATTGGTCTCTCGTGAGCCCCCACGGTCTTTACAGAGATGTTAGTGGTAATGATAGCCAGAGTCAGGTTGCAGGGTTACCCTTTCCAGATGATATCCTGCTTAGAGCTCTGACCCAGTCTGCAGTGCACACCACCACAATTAGGATTCTGGATCTCTTGCAAGTACCCAGCTTTGTAATAAACATCAAGAAAATTTCCTTGAGTCCCTTGACAAGGATATCTCACATACAAGTGGACATAGAAACCTTGTTGGCAAAAATCTATCCATCACTTGAAAGATTCTAGGAGATCCAGGATCTCACTTTCACACTACGAGAGTGCATGCAGCCAACCATGGCTCAGTGTTTTCAGCTTCTGGGCCTCCTAATGTGTACATAAGGATCACTCCATGGGCAATATCACACATCAGAGGTCTCCAGGTTTTCCTGCTCCCCTGAGCCCATGAAAGATCAGGTGCTGGTCCCTAATTAGGTGCGTGACTCCCTAAAATGGTGGAAGGTCCCAGGAAACATCCACAACAACCCCCCCCCCCCATATGCCTTCCAGACCCTCCAGTTCTCACAAATTGATACCAGGACCCCAAACTACATAAGACATTAAGAGTCGTGGGGAGAGGAACCACAGCATCAGTCTCCTAGAGTTGAGAGCGCCCTCTGGAGGTTCCAGAGCCACCTAGAGGAAAATCACATTCTGTTCAGTCAGACAACACAAAATCATACAATAGACAATTTCTTTTTTTAAAAGCAGGACTGTAGCATGTAGCGCAGAGCTAAAGTGAAATATATTCACTTCCACTGCTGCCTTTAATTGCATAATTTTGTCACCACCACAGATCTTTCTCAATGAGTAAACCATTGCCTTTACTGTCTTTTTTTTTTTTGGAACCAGAAAAATAATCAAAATAAGAAGCTAAACTAATGATAGGGCTTCAGCATAAGCTAAAACAAACAACGTCAAGTAATCCAGCCTTAACATTTGACTTCCTTTAAAATAGTTCCAATTCTGATGAGGAACATTTTCTAGACTCTGAAAATATTCTGAGGTTAACTATTGTTCTTAAGCAATGTGGGGTGGGGAAATGACTCTGAACTACTTTACTCTGATCTTACAGATTGGACTAGCCAATAAACAGAGCACAGGTTAGTTGCATTAACATTAACCCCATTCCAAGAACAATTCTGAAAGTATTTGTATCCCTTTTTAAAGTATAATATTTTGATTACTTCTGAAATTTGAATTATTATCTTGTAAGAATTACCATTAAAATTCATATTAAGGAACGTGGCAGAAGATATTTAAATAAAGCACAAAATATATTTCTAAAAACCAGTGGATATATTAAGTAAACTGATACTAATGATAATTAGTTTCAAAAAGTGTATGTTAGTAGGGAGCCACTGGAATGGGAAAATGACTTAAATGGGAAAACAGATGTTCTGGTCACATTTCTTTAGAAACCTACATTTAGGCACACAGATAGGAAATGATCAGGTAAGAAATTTTCCATTTTGGTAGCAGCAACGATCACAATTCTGTTATGTCTGGACTGCTCCCCTCCATTCTGCTGTGTCCAGAGGCGGTTCAAAGCTGTGACACGGCATGTGCTGGCCATGCCTCCTCCTCCCACTTGCCACCAGATGAGTCATTCTGAAGCTGTGTAAAACTCGTAGAAAGATATTAATAACAAATGCCAACTCATGAACTATGTACTGAAAGCAACTGTCTGCATAGTAACTGTCCAAACAAAATGCTCACCCCGTTGGCTAACGAGCCATCCAGGGTGGGTAGAATTGTAGGGGAGACTGCTAGCAGAAAGGAAAGTATCAGGTTAGAAATATTCCATTCTGCTGTCCAGAGTCTCCCATAATTCTATTACATCTGGGAAGTAGCAAGCAGGAAACAGAAGTAGGGAGGGATAAGGAGAAAGTAAAATAGAATGAGTTAGAAAACGAATCTCCTCCCATGAAGGTTGCTTAAAAGGCAGTACTATTACTGGGCCACTGCTTGTAGCACCTTCCTGCTGAAGGAGATCTCTATGGAAGACAGCATCTGAAAGCGGTGTTAGTTGATGCTCATGTGGCAGTTGGTCTGCAGCCAAAGGCCCGCTTTGAAAGGGAGAGTTGTGTGATTCCACCCCAAGACAGGAGAAAGCGAGAGGCTTGAGAACAGGGTGTGTTGAGCCCTGTAACTGTGACACCAACCATTAAAAAAAATGGTTTCCAGTGCACAAAGTAAACAAGATACAGAACAATAATTTTGATATTAATAGGTGTAACTTTTAATAACAGATAAAAACTATTCAGAGAAGCAGGATATTGATGTTGAAAGTGTGCTTTAAAGGAACCTTTAGTGTTAATAAATGCAATGTAATCACACCTTCATCATGACCAAAGGACAGGTACGAAGTGAGCATAAAGCTAAATATCCCCTAGCTATATAAAAAAACCAAAACATTGTTTAGTATAAATATCAGAAGGAAACTTGATGCATGTGTATTTGGAGAGGACTCATTTCCACAGGAGATTAATCCAGGTATGTTTATAACATATAGTATTAACCATACTTGTGGGATAGCTGAAAATAAATTACCCTTGATGCACAGTGAATTAAACACCATTTTTACTTCAAACTACAGGGTATTTTCAAGTTTAGATGCAGTCTATAAATATCTTCAAAGTACTTATATGTGTATTAAACTTACAATCCTTTTGATTTCCATGCTCTGTCTAGTCTGTAAAATATCAATTCTTCCATTTGTTTAAGCTTCACTGAAGCATAGTACTTATCTGTTAAATGTAGGGTAATTACTGATACATTTGATGTGAATGTTACTACAACCTTAGGGAGGGCAGAATACGATAAAGGCAACTTTCAGAGTACTGAGTGAGAGGCACAGAGGTTAAAATGTGCCAGAGGAGCAGAATGAGACAACCAACAACTTTGACGGTACAAGGTAATTTTTACACCACCCAATGGCTGTTTGGTGAGATTAGTGAAATCTCATTGCTCTTAGAGAGGTGTCCACAGACAGTAGTATTTGTGCTGTAAAGAGCCTAGTTACTTACTGTGCATATATTGCAGGGCAGAAGCTAAAGAGTTAAAAAGAAACTCTCTATAGGCAGGTTATTCCATAACTACATTCTGAAAGTTTTTCCTGTATCTTCTTATGAGGCATGTGGGATGGCACGTCAAAAACAGGTAGTGGACTAGATGGAGCATTGGGGAGATCATATGCATCAATTCCTATGACACACTGAGACTGACCTACCTCCTCAGTCTTTATAAGTGGTGCTTCCAGGTCAGTATTGAGATACATTGCCAGGATAGTGTGGGGTAGCTTGCAATTTTCATAGAGTGGGTGTGTTGATTAGAAAATAATCTCTCCAAATACTGTCAATTATAACACTTTTCATGAGCATAAAAAGAGGCTACAGGTACTTTGGATATAGTAAGTATTACTGTTTTCTAAAACAAACACACTTCTGCTATAAAGAGTGTTTGTGAACCACTGTTTATATACTTGTCATTAAATAGTGAGAGAATAGTGCAAAACAATACCCTTTCTCTATTTCATCAATAAGTACTTCCTCTAAGAATTAGTAAGGAACACTAAGTCTTTGATATATTTAGCAATTTCATTCATTAAATTATCGGAAAGGCAAGTTAAGAAAAAGATGGCTACAAATCTGAAATTTTTTAAAATATGTCCAAAACATTTCACTGTGGGCAGTAATATAAAGTGTACAAGTTGCAGGCTTTTATTCTAATCCAAGATCTCTGTGCCAATATATTTTATTTGATATAATAAATTTGTTATAAAAATATACACTATTGTAAGACATACTTTGTTCAATGAATACAAAGTAAATGTTTACCCTTTTAATAAGTATCAGTTGCTTTTTTTTAAACAGTTATTCACGTGATAAAGTGAGGGTCATTTCTAGGTAAAATTTACATACTAAATTATATTTGCCACATAGTGCAAATAAATCACCATCCCAAATACATTGCTCAGAACAGTGAACTCTACAAATTTAATAGTCCCATTTTCATAATTTTACTTTTTCTTGCATTTGAGAGAGGTGCTGTGAACTCTCACTTGCTGCTGAACAGAGGAAGCAATTTTCATAGATGCCTTCTTTACAAGGGACCTTTCCACAGCTCCAGGTTTCCATAACAACAGCTGTGCATCCTCTCCACCAGTCAACAAAGAATCATCTGTCATGTTCCAGTAGAATGAGCGAACTGTAGCAGAGTGCCCTCCATGAAGGGTGCCCACAAGGCTCAGTCCATCAATGCCACAGTTTATTAGGTGAATGTTCCCCATAGCTGTTCCACCAACAACAAACAATTTGTCTGCCTTTTCATGGTACAAGCCACCTATCAGATAGTTTAAGTTACTATTTTCAATGAAGACTACTTCTCTGACATCCAGAATCTGCAACAATGTCATTGGTTCCTCAGTATCTATTTGAGTAAGATCCCACCAACAAAATCCTTCCGTGTGTGTCATGCAATATACCTGTTTATAATCTTTCCCAGACCAACCAATAAAACTTACCGATGAATTCGAATTACAAGTTGCAATCAAAGCATCATCTTCATTTTCCTTGTTAATATCAAACACATTAACCAATCCATCAGTTGATCCAGAGACTACCAAATTGGGTTTGATAGGATGGAAACATATTTTAGTGATATCATCATTGTGAGTCTCTGAATAGGTTCCTAAGGGCTCTTTAGCTGCGCATGCATAGTTTGTATTACTTCTTGCATCCCAAAACACCATGAATGTGTCCTCTTCAACTTTTTCTGTCCCAGCACAAACTATAAGATCACTGCAATTAATATCAAAGCTGATGAAAACATTCGAAGGATAACCACGGAATGACTGTACAGTTTCCTGAGTAGCTAAGCGAATATCCCAACATTTTATTGTGCCATCACTGCATGCTGAAAACAACATATTCTCACTTGTATGAGCAAATCTGACTCCATTAAGTAACCCAGGATGGCCACTATACTCCCTTAGCAAGTGTAACGTTTCTCTATTATATACTTTAATTGATTTATTGGAACATGAAACAGCAACTAAGTGGTTGCTTTCCGCTTCGACAGATTTTGAAACATCTATATCCAGTAAGTAAGTGGGGTCTCCATTTAGTGCACAACGTTTTGCTATTCGCAGATTACCAAACTGTTCTTCAATCTTCTCCATAGTGGTTGTCAGAAAGACTGTACCCAAAGCTGGTAGGAATCTGCAATACATCAAATCCCAAATATATTATTTGAATTAAACAAGTTTCAATTATGCAGAAATTCCAGCTCTTAAAAATCTCTGAAACAGCAACTTTCACAACAGATCTCATGCATAAAAGTAGGTTTAAATTGTTCTTACACCACAGCTAGTGTCATTTGATATATACAGAAGAAGATAAAGCAGAAGTAAGTATGAATACAGCAGCCTGCTCCATCAGGAAACCATTCTGGTAAAATGTGTTTTAAGGTAAGTATTTTAACTAAGCCTATAAAATCTTAATTGTTCCCTTTGTGAATCATTTGCAAGTTGTTCTAGCCAAATTTGCTTAATAATACTCATAAGTAGGAAAGCAATGTTCTTGACAAGTGGAAAGACACTCAAGTCAACACCCTAACCTGCTGAGCTATATGTAATATTACCTGAAATGCTACTTGGCAGTATGATGGTCAGTTAGGGTCGGATTTGCCTCAGGATGGCAAGATAGGTGCCTTGTGGGGTTAACAGAAAAGCTTAAACAGGGTAGATGCCTAACTCTCATTGGGACTTAGGCAATTAACCTGCTTGGGTGCTTTTCTAAATCCCATGAAGCACCTATCTGCATTTTTACACATCTAAATATATTTGTACATCTGGCCCTTAATGCAAAGGGTAAAATAAAAAATTAAAATACACGTACTATAGTACATTTTTGTTTAAGGCAATCCAAGGTAGGATAACTTAGGAGTCATGGGATGAAATTGAGCAACAGAGAACAGCTTTTAGATTGTGGAACTGTCACTGAAGATCAATGGTGAATGTCCTATAGCAAATGAATTTTAAAAATAGACTGTATAAAGCACTTAATACACTATAGATAAAAACCTTACATTCAGATGCAATTTCTTCTGTGACATTACTGAACTGTCCTGTAAATGTAAGCTATTTCAGTAAAGTGCACAGGTCCTAAAATGTGCAGATTACTCATAAAAAAAATAATTTCCTAACATGAAAAGAATCCTATTCCAAAATATATGAAGTGCCCTACAGGAGATCTCTTTTTACCAAGCATATCCTGTTTTCTGTATTATAAAGCAGTAAGAAATTGTGAAACTACAATACAGGGTTGATGCCAATTCTGAATCAGAAAACTTAACACAGCCTTTAAATTGAGATAATTTGCCATGATGGCCAATTTCTAAGTTTCTGTCCGTTTACAGACTTTAGCCACTATAAAGGAACAAAAGTTTCTGAAATTTCATTTGGTTATGAAAACTTAACAGAAGTCAGACCACATGGCTGGCAAAGTTTACAGGATGGGCTGAGCTTTTTCTTTTTAAATAGAAATCAGCAACATAATTTCAATAAAAGTTATCTAATTGAAAAACCATATACCAAGTTCTGTGGGCCCAATTCTCCCTCCAGTGCCCTTCATCTTGTATAGATATTTATGCCATTGTAAATTGAGTGTAAAACATTATTAAAATAACTCCCACAGATTTCACTGACAGCTTATGCAGACCCAGAAAACAGCAACTACTTGTGTCAACTGACCATTTTACATGGGCTGGGGATTTGTGCAGAGGGAAGGGAATGACTGTCAGGAGGGAAGTGTGTGGATGGATTACAGAATCATAGAATCATACAATATTAGGGTTGGAAGGGACCACAGGAGGTCAACTAGTCCAACCCCCTGCTCAAAGCAGGACCAATCCCCAACTAAATCATCCCAGCCAGGGCTTTGTCAAGCCTGACCTTAAAAACTTCAAAGGAAGGAGATTCCACCACCTCCCTAGGTAACGCATTCCAGTGCTTCACCACCCTCCTAGTGAAAAAGTTTTTCCTAATATCCAACCTAAACCTCTCCCACTGCAACTTGAGACCATTACTCGTCGTTCTGTCATCTGCTACCACTGAGAACAGTCTAGATCCATCCTCTTTGGAACCCCCTCTCAGGTAGTTGAAAGCAGCTATCAAATCCCCCCTCATTCTTCTCTTCCGCAGACTAAACAATCCCAGTTCCCTCAGCCTCTCCTCATAAGTCATGTGTTCCAGTCCCCTAATCATTTTTGTTGCCCTCCACTGGACGTTTTCCAATTTTTTCACATCCTTCTTCTAGTGTGGGGCCCAAAACTGGACACAGTAGTCCAGATGAGGCCTCACCAATGTCGAATAGAGGGGAACAATCACGTCCCTCGATCTGCTGGCAATGCCCCTACTTATACAGCCCAAAATGCCATTGGTCTTCTTGGCAACAAGGGCACACTGTTGACTCATATCTACCTTCTTGTCCACTGTAACCCCTAGGTCCTTTTCTGCAGAACTGCTGCCGAGCCATTGGGTCCCTAGTCTGTAGCGGTGCATGGGATTCTTCTGTCCTAAGTGCAGGACTCTGCACTTGTCCTTGTTGAACCTCATCAGATTTCTTTTGGCCAAATCCTCTAATTTGTCTAGGTCCCTCTGTATCTGATCCCTACCCTCCAGCGTATCTACCTCTCCTCCCAGTTCAGTGTCATCTGCAAACTTGCTGAGGGTGCAATCCATACCATCCTCCAGATCATTTATGAAGATATTGAACAAAACTGGCCCCAGGACCGACCCTTGGGGCACTCCACTTGATACCGGCTGCCAACTAGACATGAAGCCATTGATCACTACCCGTTGAGCCCGACAATCTAGCCAGCCTTCTATCCACCTTACAGTCCATTCATCCAGCCCATACTTCTTTAACTTGCTGGCAAGAATACTGTGGGAGACCGTGTCAAAAGCTTTGCTAACGTCAAGGAACAACACGTCCACTGCTTTCCCCTCATCCACAGAGCAAGTTATCTTGTCATAGAAGGCAAGTAGAATAGTCAGGCATAACTTGCCCTTGGTGAATCCATGCTGACTGTTCCCGATCACTTTCCTCTCCTCTAAGTGCTTCAGAATTGATTCCTTGAGGATCTGCTCCATGATTATTCCAGGAACTGAGGTGAGGCTGAATGGCCTTTAATTCCCCAGATCCTGCTCCTTCCCTTTTTTAAAGATGGGCACTACATTAGCCTTTTTCCAATCATTCGAGACCTCCCCCAATCGCCATGAGTTTTCAAAGATAATGGCCAATGGCTCTGCAATCACATCCACCAACTTCTTTAGCATTCTCGGGTGCAGCGCATCCGGTCCCATGGACTTGTGCTCGTCCAGCTTTTCTAAATAGTCCCGAACCACTTCTTTCTCCACAGAGGGCTGGTCACCTCCTCCCCACGCTGTGCTGCCCAGTACAGCAGTCTGGGAGCTGACCTTGTTCGTGAAGACAGAGGCAAAAAAAGCATTGAGTACATTAGCTTTTTCCACATCCTCTGTCACTAGGTTGCCTCCCTCATTCAGTAATGGGCCCACACTTTCCTTGACTTTCTTCTTGTTGCTAACATACCTGAAGAAACCCTTCTTGTTACTCTTAACATCTCTTGCTAGCTGCAACTCCAAGTGTGATTTGGCCTTCCTGATTTCACTCCTGCATACCCAAGCAATATTTGTATACTCTTCCCTAGTCATTTGTCCCATCTTCCACTTCTTGTGAGCTTCTTTTTTGTGTTTAAGATCAGCCAGGATTTCACTGTTAAGCCAAGCTGGTTGCCTGCCATATTTACTATTCTTGCTACACTTGGGGATGGTTTGTCTCTGTAACCTCAATACGGATTCTTTAAAATACAGCCAGCTCCCCAGGACTCCTTTCCCCCTCATGTTATTCTTCCAAGGGGATCCTGCGCATCAGTTCCCTGAGGGAGTCAGAGTCTGCTTTTCTGAAGTCCAGGGTCCATATTCTGCTGCTCTCCTTTCTTCCTTGTGTCAGGATACTAAACTCAACCATCTCATGGTCACTGCCTCCCATGTTCCTATCCACTTTTGCTTCCCCTACTAATTCTTCCCGGTTTGTGAGCAGCAGGTCGAGAAGAGCTCTGCCCCTAGTTGGTTCCTCCAGCACTCGCACGCTTTCCAAAAACTTCCTGTATTGTCTGTGCACCGCTGTATTGCTCTCCCAGCAGATATCAGGGTGACTGAAGTCTCCCATGAGAACCAGGGCCTGCGATCTAGTAACTTCTGTTAGTTGCCGGCAGAAAGCCTCGTCCACCTCATCGCCCTGGTCCGGTGGTCTATACCAAACTCCCACCACGACATCACCCTTGTTGCTCACACTTCTAAACTTAATCCAGAAACTCTCAGGTTTTTCTGCAGTTTCATACCAGAGCTCTGAGCAGTCATACTGCTTTCTAACATACAATGCAACTCCCCACCTTTTGTGTCGGGCCTGTCCTTCCTGAACAGTTGATATCCATCCATGACAGTACTCCAGTCATGTCATACAATCACAGAATCCTAGAATATCAGGGTTGGAAGGGACCTCAGGAGGTCAAAAGTTATCCTACCAAGTCTCTGTTGTTCCAGTCATCATAATTCCCTTGACTGTGCCAGGACTTCCAGTTCTCCCTGCTTGTTTCCCAGGCTTCTTGCATTTGTGTATAGGCACTTGAGATAGCTTGCTGATCCTCCCGCTTTCTCAGTATGAGGCAGAAGCCCTCCCCTCTCATGCTCTCCTGCTCGTGCTTCCTCCCGGTATCCCACATCCCTACTTACCTCAGGGCTTTGGTCTCCTTCCCCCGCTGAACCTAGTTTAAAGCCCTCCTCACTAGGTTAGCCAACCTGCTTGCGAAGATGCTCTTCCCTCTACATGGGACAGTAAGGGAGGGCTATATTACTTGTTTTAGTTAAACCTTTTAAAATTTCCATGAAAAAAATTATCAGCTACCATTGGTTACCATAGAATGTTCTACAATATATCTGAATTTTATATTGTTATGGATTTGTCTGTAGTGTCTGGAAATAGATAATGGGGGAGGGGGCGCTGTTCATAATGTGTAAAATATTCATCTTATGATGAAACAATCAGGGCCAAATTCACACCAAACATCAGTTTAAGTACACACTTACACTCACAAAAGCTTAATTCCCAAGTCACAAATAATCTCACAAAACTATTTGCTTCAGTAATATCCTGTGACAATAAGGTCCCCAGGTTAATATTCCACATCAAAGCAACCCTACAGAATACATCTGTAAGTGCATTTTTTTACCACAAAACGCAGACATCCTGTGGAAAGTCTCTTTCTCCCCAGAGAGAACGTACAATATTCTGTCTGGCACAAACGTGTGCACAAGCTTAATCATCACAATTTACTTCTTCCAAACCTTTCTGGATAGCTCTTCCAGATTAGGCAAGCATTCAGCAATGTAATTACATAAACATCAGCCAGTTCATAAGCACTGTTCAGTAGATTGTAAGCTCTTCAGAGCAGGGACTGCAACTTACTCTGGGTTCATTAAGCTATACCTACCTATATAGTGCTTTTTCAAAAATAATTATGTCCTTACTTTTCCTTGATATACTAATGGGGTGAAAAATACTCACCAGATAGTTTTATGACAGTACTTCAAAGATGAGGCAATGGATAAAAAAAGACAAAAGACACAAACTATAGTTCTGAGAGAAAAAAAGTGGTTTAATTATTTAACAATGCTCAGATAAACCTGTGATCTGCTTTTTTAAAAAAAATTAAGGGAAAAACATAGATAATTTTATTAGTAACAGAAAGTAGAAATGGAACATGGCATATTTAGTCAAGATCACTGAAGAATTACAACAGAAACTTATGTTTTAAAAGAGTATTTCCAAATTTGTGCCTGCCTGTGGACGCAGAAGGGAAGTGGTCTGCAGAACCTGGGGTAATCTGAACTGTGATGATTGCAGAACATGTATATAGTGGGTCCCAGTCAGATTCTGTTTGTAAGAAAAAGGTAATTTTCCATATTGACTTAAATTTCTACCTCAAAATAATCAAACCTTTTTAGACTAGAAAGGTCAAGTAAACTCAGACAGACATTCTCCTGACAAATGTCAGCCATTTGGAAAGTAACCTGTTTTAACCTGTAATATTGTTTAATATTACTGACTTTGATAAAAGATATTATTCCATGTGCAATTTCTGCAACACTCATCTTGTGTGTCAAAAATTTTACTAACGCAGGGAAACGTCAAATTATACCCTACAATGTGCACTGTCTGCAAAGTCCTACTTCAAGTTAACATATTGGGGTTCTCTAGAAAACAGAATGGCTTGGGGCATCTTCTAATTGTTTACTCCAAATTTTACAGTTTTAGTTGCTCTGAAATACTGGGGGAAAATGTTTTCATGTTTTCCAGAGAGATGTAATTTATATGTACTGGAAGGTGAGGGGGTATGGTCTTTCAATTCTATTTACAGTGAAATGGCTGAAAGGGGTTTATGCTGCACTTGACAGCTAGCATGTCTCACTAAAACCTGTTATACTAATATGCAACAATCTCTGCTCTGGTGAAAAATACTTTAGTCTATTATGAATTCCTGATTGAAGGTTATATAAACAATTCATGCTGACTTCAGGGTGTAGCTGCCAGCCCTTCCTTTTCAGAAGGGGAAGTCACTGTTGTATTTTGGTGGGAGAGTTTAAATTGGAGGAATAGGATGTGTGTTAAATTTATGAGATAAATAGGAAATAATGATCTTCCAAGCACAACAGAAGATAACTAAGTGTTGGAATGCTGCCATTTACAAGAATATATAAGGCAAATGATGCTATGCACTCAAGAATGTAGTCTGTGATGCAGTGTTACCACACTCTCCATCCGCCAAGCCTGCAACAACTTTGCTACTGTTTCAACAGGTCTCCTAATGTTTTGATCTTAGACACAGTAAAGCACCTATGAGATTAGAAACCAGGTGCTATCCTTGGAAAACAGGGAGCACAGTTTGTAAATTAGGTTTAAAATTAACCTGAAAGGAAATTTCCTGCTGTTGTAATTTGTTTGTTTTTTTATAAAGTGTTTTTTATTTAAATCGTAGAAATGTGGGGCTGGAAAGGACCTCAAGAGGTCATCTAGTCCATCCCCCTGCACTAAGGCAGGACCAAGTAAACCTAGACCATCCCTGACAGGTGTTTGTCCAACCTGTTCTTAAAAACCTCCAATGACAGGGATTCCACAACCTACCTTGTTAACCTGTTCCAGTGCTTAACTATCCTTATGGTTAGATCATTTTTCCTAATATCTAACCTAGTCTCCCTTGCTACAAACTAAGAGGATTAATTCTTGCCGCACCCTTAGTGGACTTGGAGAACAAATATTCACCGTCCTCTTTACAACAGGCTTTTACATATTTCAAGGCTATAATGTCCCCCCTCAACCTTCTCTTCTCTAGACTAAACATGCCCAATTATTTCAATCTTTCCTCACAGGTCATGTTTTCTAACCCTTTTATCATTTTTGTTCTTCTCCTCTGGACTCTCTCCAGTTTGTTCACATCTTTACTGGCACCATTAGAGTTTTCAAAATATGCAGCTGGTTGACCAAACCCACAAGCGCACACAGCAGCGTACTGGGTGGATCAGTCTTATTGTTTAATTTGGTTGCTCACTCCCCAAACCTACAAGGATCCTGAACAGAGCTCACAACCATTAAAAAGAAATATGGGACAGGTGGTTTCATTTTTATTCCTAATGCTTAAAGCCTCTCCAATTAAGTAAAGGGGAAAGACTGATTTATTAAGTCCTTCATCATCTAGCTCTAGAATAAAGATATATATGTAAGCCTCATCTTGTACTGAGAGCACCAAGTAGAAAAAAATATTCCCTATACATTGTCAAGATTTGGACCAAATTTTTCATTTCTGTGAAAACAGGACAATATCTTTGGGACAACAAATGCTATATCATCACTACTTGAGTTTTAACCAGTAGAGCTCTCCGAGGTACTAGCGAAACCTCATGACGCAACCTATGCATCAAATCCATGTCCTTCTTGACAGTGGAGGTTAGCAGGGAAGCACAGGGCCCAGTACGAACAGTGATTTTAAGTGCTGTTGTAATAACTGGGCCAACAAATTTACCCTAATTGTAAGCTCAGTTGTAAAAATTGCTTTCAATAAAGAATGTTATAAACAGGTGCGTGAGAACCAGACAAAGAGACTAAATTAGTCCAAACATAATAGGCCACACTGATATAATATAAGGACTGTGTTGAAATCATGCTTGGTTTAAAAAAAAAAAAAAAGGATGTGGAATCAGAAATTAATTGACCAAAATTGGTGTGTCAGATATTATGCCTAACTGATGGTCAAAATAATGGCGGGGGGAGGCCTATTCCTCCCATCACTCCCTTTTTGGATACTTGAAGACTTTGGGACCTTCATGTGACCCCAGATCTTCTTCATTCTAATGTTAAGTGATGTCCTGATCAGACTGGGCTAGAGACAGGGACCCAGATAACATCACCACTTCTCCCGGCTCCACAGAATCCAAACCACCACCTGGGATGAAACAGGATCAGACTTTACCAACAGCAGCAGCAACAGCAGCTCCAGGCCATCTCCGATAATTTCTTCTCTTTTCCCCGATAGGACAGTTATTACCATCTTTGACACCATCCAAGAGACTGTCAAACAAGGGGGGAGGAGAGGTTCCTTCAAAAAACTCTCTCCAGCTAATGGGAACAGGGGATGTTCTTAAAATGAAAGCCTTACTTAATATTTTACATTTCAAATGCTTTAACTGTTTTTACTTCTTTTCTCAAAAAGAAAAGGCGTATTTGTGGCACCTTAGAGACTAATAAATTTATTTATTAGAGCATAAGGTTTCGTGAGCTACAGCTCATTTCATAGCTCACGAAAGCTTATGCTCTAATAAATTTGTTAGTCTCTAAGGTGCCACAAGCACTCCTTTTCTTTTTGCGAATACAGACTAACACGGCTGCTACTCTGAAACCTATACTTCTTTTCTGTGTCTCTTAATACAAGGTTAAAGGATTTTAAATGGTGTTTGCCATAGTGCAAAGCAGCCTGAGGTCTCTGTGTACTGAACCATGAACCTTTAATATTCGACAGTGACTGGGTTATGTTAACATCTCTGGCCCATTTATTCCATCTAAATCAATACAACAGTGCCTCCCATAAAAAGGGCAGCCGCCAGCTTCTCTTTAGAAAACACAAGTATGGGCTTTGTTCAGGAAGCCATGTTTTAACTTTGACAATATGGCTAATCACTGCTCTGTATCTAATCTTCCCTCTGTGGTTAAGATTATTGAAAGGTTCTGTTATCACAGCCCTCACAGTCTCTAGTTGCCTCAGAGTTCCTTGACCTCTGTGAATATGGGTATACATAACGACTACTTGTGGTGATCAATGAGAAACAAGTGTCCATGCCCATATTACAAAGTGAACTGGATTGAATACAAGGCCATTCGAAGGAGAACAAGGAAGTACTGGTTGTGATGCCTTCAGGATGAAACCCAGCTTTATGTTTTCTCTTTTCCAACTCAGGTGGCGCAGATGAATGCCTTTTCCAGTGACTGGATGAGATGGAACACCAACAGTTAGTAAAGACACAAGTGATGTTGGTTAACTGAGGAAAGCAAATGGAAGATCTGACTGAAGGGATCTGGCCACCATTTGTAGCTTGTATTGGCTACCTCAGAATCTGATTGGATTCCCAGTTATTGTTGGATGATCGCGTTTCAGCAGCGGCTGCACAGCCCTCTTTTATTTGTGGCTAACCAAGAAGTTGTGACCTTGTATTTTGGACGTGGGCTTGGCCACTTATCTATGGCTTTGTCAACTCCCTCTCAGACTTTTACAATGTGTTCCCTACTTGAAGTTAACTCTTAAATCCATTCAGAAACTGAAGCGAATACAGAATTCAGTAGCCTACTTTTTAAGCAGAGTATCTCACCTCAAGTACATTTCACTAGTGCTTCATTATCTTCACAGGCTGCCTTTGGGGTTCTGGGAGCACTTTAAGGTATCAATTTTGACCTATAAAGCCATGTTAAATGGCCTGGGGCCTGCTTACCTGAGAGACCCACTCCCCTATGCCGTACTGCAACAATTGAGATCAGCAGAGGCATTCAAGCTGCAGCTTCCTTGGTTGAGAGAGAAGCAGCTTCTTGCAGGGCACTTTCTGCGAAAACACCCCAACTTTCAAGCTTTTACACCTACCAATCTGAAACAGCCTAAATCTGTGGACCTTCAGGGTATGCTGCAAAGCTCACCTTTTTACTGGCTTTTGGGGGCAGGAGAGAGTAGAGAGAGGATGGAATGGTCCCCTGAAGGGTAATACTGGAAGGAGGGGGGAGGGGAGGGTGATATCTTTTTGATGTATAGGATAGCTGTTTATTTCTGATTTATGGTGAAGTTTGCTTCTGGTTTTCCCTTAAGTGTCAAGGGTGCCAAGTGTCTGGGGTAGGTACATTAGAATTCTAAAGTAGTAAAATAAATATCTGTCAATTTTGTAGGGCTAATATGTAGTGTTATCAGAACATATATTGTAATGTTCTGTGCTTGGCATGACAGTTATAAACAGCATTCCCCAGCTAAAGACAGATCAATGAGTCATTTTAATCC